CTGAGCTTCATAGTACATGTGGATATCTGTATATCTTTTCAGTGGCTAACACTATTTTTCTTGAAATATAGGTGAATTACTCTGAGTGCTACAGAAGCAAGCATCAGTTACTGAAATGTAGGGCCTCCAAGAAGATTATTTAAGTAAAAATCCTAATGATAATCATAATAATTTTAGAAAAAATATGACAGCTCCTGTCAGGTAGCAGCGTGTTGATGATGAAGATACCTGTCAAGTACTTGGAACTTCTTTGAAGAAAATCAGCTGATACGTACAAAACACCAACTTCATTCTACTCTGCATTTTGTGCCAATCATGTTAGAGTTAGAAAAACAAATCCCAGAGTATCATATTTTCTAGGCAATCCAGCCATTCAAGAAAATTTACTGGCACCAAGAGCGTCCCAGAACAAGATATAACCCCTGCCCTTAAGAGTCCCACACTCTAGTGTAAAAGGCAAACAATCCATTAGGATACAGTGTGATAAGGACGACATATGAGCGTTGTGTGACTGAGTTTGCTTCAGTGGGGACACAGAGGAAATACAGTGGTAGATTGATACAGCTGGTAATCATGGTTAGCCCACGAGAAAATGACGTCTGTGCTCTTCTTACCTCTTCTGTTGTTCTTCTTGATATTGTTGCTTTAATTTAGCTTCATTTTCCATTGCTTCTCGTATCCTTTCCTCTAGCTCCTTCTTCTCCAAAATACAAGTTTCTGTGAGACAGACTTTATGAGCATGTTCCAGTTTCTGCTGCAGATCCAAAATCTTGAATGAGAAAAGTTTACAAATAAAACTTTAAGGAAGAGTGTGACCTATTTTCCAATTAGGGAAATAGCATATAAAAAAATATACTAGTGCTAACAAAGAAATGATATACAGTAAAGAGTGTGGCTAGCTTTATTTTAATTTTAAAATAAATTACTTAAGTTTTGCAATAACTAACACATTCACAAAGCTCAGTGTGTGCGTACGTGCGTGCGCACGCGCGCGCGCGCGCGTGTGTGTGTGTGTGTGTGTGTGTAAATGAAGCTATATGCTGAAAAGTCCCCTCCCCAGCCCATCCTGTTTTTCATCACCAAACAGGTAGGTGATCACTGACATTAGTTTTCTGAGTGCCCTTCCAGAGGTTTATTTATGCATATATAAACAAATATTATTACATAGTTCTCCCCATAGACACATTCTTACAAAAAATCATGGCATAGTATATATACTTATATACTTTGCTTTTTAATAAAAATACACTCAGTGATTTTTCCATATCATACATACATACATATATATATATGTGTGTGTATATATATATATGTATGTATATATATATATATATATATATATATATATATATCGAATTGTCCTCTCTTTTATAGCTGCATATCATTCCACTGGAAGAATATACCATAACTTATTAACGCGCCTCCTACTACTGATGGATATTTAGATTGATTTCAATCTTTTACTATTACAACCAATGTCTCTAGAATAACTTATATGATGTGGATTTGCCAGGGCAAAAAGGTTATTATTATCTGTTTGTTTGTTTGATAGATAATGCCAAACTGTCTCCATAGGTATTAGACCAATTTGCACTTCTAACAACAATGTGTGGGAGTGTCTGGTTTCTCCACACTGTGGCTACCTTCATGAATATCTCAACACAAAGCAGAAGTCTCTTCCAAGCCAAGTACTGATTAGCATATTGCCTAGCGCTAATAATAAGTTCTTTAACACTCTGGTGGAACTGAAAATAAGGTTTATGAATCGAAAGAGAGATATATAATTTTGTTTTAGAAATTACATGTTAGGTTAAAAGTGTCATTAAAAATATTTTTGTTAGATAAATCTCCTTTTAAATTTGTTTACTTAAATTTTTTTATAAACCTTTGTCATCTAAATTTGCTGCTGGCACATAGTAAGTGCTCACTAAAAATATTTGTTGAATGACTAGATTTCAGCAGAAGAGCTGTTCTCCCTCTATCGTATTCCTGACCCAACAATGAATCCTTTACGATGATGGTCTCACATCACATTCCCCACAAACATTCAGTGGATGCCGGTGGATGGCAGTCCTTGTCTAAGAGAAGGGCTTTCTGTGTCAGCCCTCAGCCTTGGCACTTAGGTCCCTGCAGAGCCCACACATCATAGGAGAAGTGAAGACACAGAATGATTCAAAGGCAGCGGCGGTGGGCAGCCAGTCATCTGAGACCAGGTCAAGCTCCTGCGAGCTGCCCCATTTGGTCCTGCTGAGGGGAAATGCTTACTTAAAGATATTCAGCCTTTACTCCACAGACGCAAGAATCACCCCATTGGCTTCTCTGTCAAGGACATACGACCAACTTTTTGAACGCACCACCTGATTTAAGAAAGAGAACATCTCCAATACTTTTGAAGTCCACTCTGTGACCCTCATTGATTACCCTCCCTCCTCCCCACCTGAGAAAACGAGGATCTTGAATTCTGTGTTAATAATTTCTTTGCTTTTTCTTTTAACAATATATCTCTATATGACATGGTTTTTATTTTGTGCTATTTTGAACTTTACATCAATGGAATCATACTGTGTTTTTGGAGACTTGGTTTTTATTCAGTGTTACATTGAATGGCAGCCTGTACCTGTAGGTTATTCATTTTCCCTGTTGTGTGCTATTGTGTACAGTTTATTTATTCGATCTCATGTCAGTGGGCATTTGGGTTGTTTCTAATTTTCTGCTATTTGGAACAATGTGACTATGAAAATGGCTGAATTCCTGTGCCCTGATACTTATGTGCAGTATGATAGTTTTTCTAGTGTTTATGCCTAGTAGTAGAAGTGTTGGGTTGTATAATATATATAATGTTAATTTAACTAAATATCAATGCCAAACAGCTTTCCAAAGTGTTTCTACTAATTTACGTCTCCAATTGCAGTCAGTATATAAGAATTCCTGTTGCACAAAACCCTCGCCAATACTTAGTACTGTCCAAATTGAAAAATTTTACCAGTCTCTATCAGTTTTTTATGGAGTAATAACATATATATATA